TATATGAAGGAAAGTATAAGTAATTAAAATAGATTCTATGCCTAGTATAATCTCGAAAAATCTGAGTATTACTACCTTCAATCCAAACCAATCTCACTCTTATTGTGTAAAATCATTATTATCAATGACTACTTTACCAGTAGAATTGAAAATAAAAGCCAAAATAAATAAGAGTTCAAATTTAAAAAATTATTTTTTTTTGAAATTAGGCTTCAAAGTTTGGCCCTCATAGGCCCTCCAAATTCTATTCTCCAAAAGATCAATGATAGTTCAAATATTGTGTTATTAAAATGATTGATGTTTGTTCTTTTACTATTTATTTTAACACAATATTAACATATTTTTTTACTAATTTATTAAACATGATTACTTTATAAGCTAAGGTCTATTTCGTGATTTTGATTAATGTTGTACTCTATGATACATAAGTTTTTGTATTTATTGAATTTGATAAGGTTGATCTGGATTAAAAATTTTTATATTCATTTTAAAACTTGATCAAGATTTTATGTCTAGATTTGCATTTATTTATTTTTATTAAATTTTTTATTTTAAAATTTTTAAAAAATAAAAAGGATTTACCGGCCCAACACTAAGCCCTTCAAATTAGGGACAAGCTTCAGAAACCAACTTTTTTTAAAAAAAAATTGGGCTCAAGGCCTAAACTCTTAAGGGTTGGGCTCTTCCATTTCCCATCTCTACTTATGAGTGTAACATTTCAAATTTTATTTTGTTTAATGAATTAAGATTAATTTTAGTTGTTTGAGCTGGATTAATATTGCTGAGATTGATCATTGAGGCTTTGTAGTAGTTATGTTATGTGGGAGGTGTATGATTGAATCAAGGCATAGGATTATATCCAGTGCCAAGTATGGCATAAAAGGAATGATGTCCAGCACTAGATGTGTTTGGGATTTAAGTGCATAATAGTGGAAATCAAATAGAAAAAGAGGAGAGAAATGAGGGTTTCGAAAATTCTTTAGGGGCTCCACTAGGATACGAAATTTGGACCAATTGGGAGTCATTTAAGGCTATAGTGTCTGAAGTAAGGTTCCCAACTTTATTATTATTATTATTATTATTTTACCTTTCCCTCTATGATTTTCAGATTTTAGAATTGTTTAGGAACCTAGGGTTTGAGGGGTTCAAAATTTCTAAGGTTTATTCTGATTGATTTGGCTTTAAATGAATGTTTTGGATTAGATTAAGGATTTAATCAGTTTAATCTTCCCTCACTTGAGGTTTTATGATTATTGAAGTTAGGGTTTAAATGATTATTCAGTTTTATGGTGGAAATTGGTAACTTTAACATTGGTGATGTGAATTTATTGGCTTGTATAATAGTAGTTGTCCAAAAGGAGATGGCATGCGTAAAGCTAATTGGATTTGTAGTCCGATGTGGTAACTGACCTAGGGAAGGAAGTAACTGGTTCGATAGGACTAGGAGACCCTTTTGGAGGAAGATAGGTAAAAAAGAATTTGTCTATTTTGGAAGAAAAAAGAAAATCCTTAAATCTTAAGGAGAGCCGGCTTCAAGCATATAGTGCCTTTCCCAAGCGCACAAGGGAGAGAGACTTTTGCTTACAATCCAGTTTGTAAAGTTTTCCTTATATTATTATATTCTAATAGGTAAAGTTCATATGCATGTAATAGTAAAGGAGGATGCTTGCCTATTTGACTTCCTGCCATTTTCAATAGTCCTCTAGTGGCAAATCATTTGCCAAGGGCTAGCGAATAACTCCTTCTCTGTGTAGGATAGAAATTATGATTAAATTGTTTAGAATATTTGTTTAGTGTTGAAGTTGGTGACTTGGCAAATTGGGAAACGAATTGAAGGACTAGGGAACTAAGGAAAATTAGATTGAGGACTAAGTGGTGACCTGGGAGCTAGATGTTGGGAAAGTGGATTTGTGACTAACTTAAATTTTTACCCAACGACTTGATTATGATTGATGAACATTTATTATTAATTATGTAAACTAATTACATAATCGAAGGTTTCAGTTTGAGCTTCCACTTGTTGGTTGGAGTAAGTTTGGAGGAAAGGTATTATTGATTTTTTTTTTATATATTGGGAATTTATACTATCTAAACTATTCTGATGAGACCACTAATATGCTCATAGAGAGTTTATTTATGTATATTGATTGATATTTTTTTGATAACCATATGATTGTGTGACCTATGAAGATTTCTTTCTAGCATGCTTGTGATTGTGATTGGTTTGAGTAACATTGTTTCTTTTCAAGCAAGCTAGTAACGTTTTGTGAAGTACTTATGAGTAAGTTCAAACATGTATCGAACATGTGTTTATGATTAGCAAGTCTTGACTTGTGCAAATTTAACCATGAGTAAATTAATATAGACTTGTTGACCTACTCGTGAGTAACATATATTAGTCAAATTTTAATTTAGAGGTATTCAATAAAATTCAACCTAAAATTTTCTTCTAATTTTAGGTTATTAAGGATTGTTAATGGATCCTCCTTCTCCTTTGGTATGGAGATGGAAATGATAATGATGATGATATAATTTTTATTTTATATGTATAATTGTGTTAGTAAAATACCAATAGATATATACTACTCCTATTCAAGAAATAAATACCCATATCATCTTCTTCCCCCTTGCCGTTCCTCCTTCCCATTGTCCCCAACATGATCTTCACCAATCTAGAATAAAGGGTTAAAGGGCAAATTTGTCCTAAAAATTTTTCTTCAGGGACGCTAGATATCCTAACCTTTTGTTTGGAGCATTTTTGCCTTGAAACTTTAAAAATTGAGGCTTTTTTATCCTACCATTAAATTCAAAGTTAGTTGACCATTAAAAACTTTCTTTAACCAACAAATGTATACATGGCATTGCTGAGGTGAATAGCTTATTAATAAAAAAATAAAAAAAATTGTGCATTCTCATCCAGTCATCCTGTGTAACATCCTAGAAAATTTAATTTAAAGATAATTAGGTAATTAAAAATAAATTAGACAATTGAGAGTTAAATTGGACTAGAAAAATAATAATAATAATAATAATAATAATAATAATAATAATAATAATAATAATAATAATAATAATAATAATAATAATAATGTATGAATGGCTAATGGGTATATCAAATCCTAATAAGGCCTTAGAATTGGACCCTATGTGGTATTGGGCTATATTTGGGCTCAGTTAGATGGATAGTTTTTAGAATCTAAAATTTTAATTTTTGGCTGTAGCCAAAGATTTATTGTCTGCAACCAAAAGCCAATTTTTTAAGCTATTTTAAGCTTTTAGGCTTGCTTTTCAACTTAAAAAATTAGAGTTTTGAGTGGGAGTTCAAAGGTGAACGAAGAGGGCTCTGCTAGGGTTTATTATGGATATCCAATTGAGTCTATTTGGAGCTTCTAATCACTTGGGTAAGTACTTATAACCTCTCCTCTTCCTCTCTTGCGCATTTTCACCATAGTTTTCAGGTAGCTCTTTGGGAATTCAAAAACAAGTTGTGAGTTTGCTTAAAATTCTAACTTCAATAAGATTAATGAGAGTTTATTTAAGCGTCTAACCTTTAGATTATGATACTATTAATGTTTTAGGATTTCAAGGTGGGGTTTAGAGTAAACCCTAGAGCTAATTTATTGAGCTAAGAAGATTATGAGTTATTACTTGTATTGATTAGACTAATGAGAGTTTAAGTGAATTAATGAAACCTAAAAATGGATTTGGTTGTGGGTAGATGATTACAATAGAATTTTTGGGTTTAGGCTTTGATTAGAATTAATTTTGGACAATTAGTCATTAATAACTATCGGTGTATTTGATTATAAATTGACCATTGTTGGTGCTATTGAGCTTATTGGAGGCTCCAGTTAATATTCACAAGTACTCTCGGTTAGTAAACCAAAAGTTGAGATAACTGAGATTTTAATTATTATATATCATAGTATCTATAATTGTAAGTTATATTGAGTTATCTTGGCTTGAGATGGGTAATATAGACATGTTGGTTAATATAATGACTTTGGGTTAATGTTATGCGATAAACAAGCCTAATATTGATAAAAATGCTTTATGGTTATGTGATAACTTGCAAGTTTTGTTTATGAATGTGTTGAGTTATTCAGATATGTATGAATATATATTTGCATATATTGAGTGAACTTACATGATCATGTGGTAGAAGAATCAGTGGTCACAATGAAGACAATGATGTCGAAGCCATGATCTTTTTCCCTTGAAATGATTTTTATTGAGATTGAGGCTTTCTAAAGGCAAATGACACAAGGCATCTAGAATTGTCCCCTGTCAAGTGGTTTATTGACACATCGAGCAACCTTAATGCTATTAAACATGGGATCAACTCATACAAATTATTGAACATTAAGCCTAAATCCTTCAACTTCTTCACTTCTCAAGCGAGTCAGCCACACTGTTCGATCAACATCACCGGTAACACTAAGCAATCCATGAGGGAGGTTTATTACAAGTGGAGATAGGTAGCGATGGGAGCTAGTGATAGATCAAGACTTATAAGGGAGAGAGGGGGGGAGGAGAGGACAGAGCATAAGGTGGAGGAGAAAAGAAAGGGAGAGGAGATAGAGCTTAGAGGAGAAGAGAGAAGGGGAGGAGAGGATGGAGCAGAGGCAAAGGTTATGTAGCAGGTCTGTAAAGATAACTAAAACCTATAAAGAGAAGGAGGAAGAAGGAGGAAGAAGAACTATATGGAAGAGGAAGGGAGATAGGTTTGCAGAGAGAAAGAGGAAGTAGAAACACGTGGATTTAGTCAACATCCAGTTAGTACCACATATACATTTTTTGGTCAAACTTAAGTTTTAACTGTCAACTAACTTTGAATTTAAAAGTAGGGTGAA